GTCCCGTTCCCACCCCAAAACACCCGAGGATACCCCTAGGGTGCCCCTCTCACCCCCAAACACCCCTAGAGTCCCGTTCCCACCCCAAAACAAGTGGGAACACCCCCAGGGTCCCCCCTGCCCCTTCAAACCCCCGGCAGCACCCAGGGTGTCCCTGTCAGCCCAAAACACCCCCCGAGGACACCCGCAGGGCCCCCCTTCCCACCCCAAACCCGCCGCGAGCGGGTCGAGATTTCCCCTTTTGGCAGAGCCGATCCCTCCCAGCGCTCGAATTCCCGAGGAGCTGCACAGAACGCCCAGGATCGGGGGGGGAGGAAAAGGTCAACCCCTCGCCGGCGGCGGCGCGGCCGGGCCCGGCAGGGCCCCGGGACGGCCCCGGAGCGGCGGCGCCTCAGGGGCCGCTCCTCCGCCAAGGCCACCCCCGGCCCGCCCTCTCCCTCACGCCCAGGGCCGCCCGGGCCTAACGGGGCTCGGCCCGGGCCTACCGGGGGGAAGGGGGTGTGGAGGGAGCGGGCTGGGCCTAACGGGGCTGAGGGAGGGGGGGGGGGAGGAGCGGGCTGGGCCTTAACGGGGTTGGGGAAGAGCGGGTTGGGCCTCAACGGGAGCGGCGGCGCCGGGGGGAGCGGCGCGGCCGGGACTGACTCACCGCGGGCCGGGCCGGCGCTGCCGGAGGAGCCGGAGGAGCAGCAGCAGGAGGAGGAAGGGGAGCAGGAGGAGCCGCCGCTCAGGAGGAGCCGCCGGAGCCGCCGCGGCCGCCGCTTCCTCCCGCTCCGCCACAAAATGGCGGCGGCAGGAAGTGCCCCCCGCGCGCCGGCCCCGCCCCGCGCTGCGCCAGCGGCGTACGGGGCAGGCCCCGCCCCCTCCCCGGCACGCCCCGCCCCCAGCACGGCGGCCCCGGAGCGCAACGGGGATTTACGGTGGAGAGGGAGGGGGAGAGAGCGCGGCCCCGCCCTACGCCAGGGGCGCAGCGCCGCCTCAGCGCTACGCAAACAGCGTAACCCCGCCGGCCCAGCGCGGGGGGCGCTCCCTCCGCCCGCCGCCGCACCGGAGACACCGCCCCCCCCACCACTCCGGTAAAAACGGAGACACCCCCCCCCCCCCATACGGCCCGCGCGTCCTCCGGGCGGGATTGAGGCAGAACAGCCCCCCCCCCCTTCCCACCCGGCGCTCGGCCCGCGGCGCCCCCGGCCCTGCGGGCTTGGCGGGAGGGGCGGTGTGTGGGGAGTGTGTGTGGGGAGCAGAGCGCAGGTTCCGCACCCTTGGCGTGAGGGGCGCTGTGTGGGGACCCGCAATGCGGGTGACGCCGGCGGGGCGGCGTTCGCGGCCTTCGGGAATCGCGGCGCCCCCCCCCCGCCCCTCACACAGACACAGACACACACACAGACACACGGACAGACACACGGACAGACACACGGACAGACACACGGACACCCCTCACGGGCCGCCACACCCGCCCGGCCCGGCCCGGCCCGGCCCCTCCTTCCCGCCGCGCCCGCGGCCCCGCTCTTACCTGAGGGGGCCGGGCCGGGCCGGGCCGGGCCGGGCAGGGCAGGGCGAGCCGCCCTCCCGCCGCGCACCCGCGGGGGTCCCGCGCAGGGCCGGGGGCGGCG